CTTTATTTGGGGGTCAGGCATTACCTGGGGATGGTGGGGCCCCTCCTCATCTTAGCTACTCCTGGGAATGGATTGCATTCTGGTAAAAGTCAGGGATTATATTGTATGTTTGAATGCAGCCCAATCATTATCACTTCTTGTTGCAAATATAAAATAAACCGGTGAGACCAACACGATGCACAATAGACAGTAATCTATAGTTTGTCTTTACTCTATAAAAGGACAGTAAGTAGAAAGGAGGTAAATGATGAACTAGTTTATACTCATGCTTTCTTATAAAGATAGTAATACTACTAAGTGTAACATGTACAAACTAACTGAAAGTATACATTATAAAAAAAAATTAAAAATGCAGTTCATAGTTATCAACAAAAGTTACTTTTTAAATTGATTTTTTATGCTTATAAACAGAATTTCTAGTGTTCAGTCTGTATAAAGTTGTTTTTACACTTCAACAGAGTCTCTAGTAGTAGAAGTAGCTATCACTGATGTATATGAAGGTACTGAGACTGAAACAGTTATGCAGCTTCACATCTCTAATTGCTGTATTTTTCTCTTGAAGAAAATAAAACCAGATGCAGAAGAGATCTGTTTACCAAATTCATTTCTTGGTAAGTGGCTGATTGATATAATATAGATGTGCTATGACTCAATATGGCTTCAGTTGAGCCGAGTCTGAGATGTATGTTTGGGAGATGATAATAGTGAGGATAGTTTCCTTCTCTGAGAGTCTACAATAGATTGCACATTGCCCTGCATCACTGTACCTGGACCTCAGTGCAGCTCTAGGGTGACTGCTGCTCACTTAGTAGATAGCCATATCATGTCAGATACTGAAGAAGTACAAATACTGTAGGTTGAATAGTTTAACCAGTTGCATCAAGTTGAGCCAGTGATAGTTAGCATGTATGTTTTACCCAAATTGCTAACAAATCCATATGAGACTGTATCTTTGTGCTCTGAATCATTTTAAAACATCATTCTGAGTTCAGTCACAGACTATACCACCCCGCATCAACCTAAGAAAGTATTTGACTCTGTAAACACTTTGGGAGATTGTGAGGCTGAAGAATTCTGACAAAAGATCACCATGGCATGTCCATGTGCTGATTCTGAAAATGTTGGCTGAGGTATGGCTAGTTTCTGCTTTCTGCAGACAGGATTCAAGCAAATGTATCCCTACACCAACATTTTTAAATACCTAGACTTGCTGGAAGTCATCCACTGTAATAGGCATTGCATTGGATCATGGGATACTGTTGACAGAACTGTGTCCAACCAGAATAGGTTAGCAAAGGATCTGTTTCACAGACAATTTGGGGACCAACAACTTGTGCTCATTTTATGCTCCCCCCCAATCCCCCAAAAACCTGAATGACATATCAAATTTTATTGATTTATTGAAAACGTTCTACCGCATCAACAAGGTCATTAGCGGAATATTAAAAAAATAGAAATAGGGTGGGGCTGGGTATTAAATGACAGATGACAGATATATAATCTTTAACCTGAAAACATAGATTCTATAGTCAATGTAGACTATGATATTAAACAGCAAGAAACATACTGCACTATTAATTGTTTTACCCATTCACCCTATGTGGCAAGAATACATACCATGCCCACTGCAATACTTGTTTATTTATTTATTTACACATGGGTCAACAAGTTCTTAATCTCTAAAGAGCCAATTTATCAGAACTACCTATCTCACCTGTTTACCCTTTTCCTTTACTTTCAGAAAGGGTCTTTTGTATCATTTCTTTGTCTAAAATATTTTAATGACAATTTAATAATCATAACATCTTAACATTAATAGCAATGGTATTAATAAGAAAAAACATTTTCCCGCTAATTCAAGGAATGGGAAAATTAGGATTGGTAACTAGGGCCTACTGATAGACTCCTTGCTGGCTGAGCACATGTGGAGCCATTTGTATGTAACAAAATTCACCAAAAACTAAAAGGGACAGAACATAAATCCGGGGTGAATAGGTTAACTTTAATTGTAAAAAGTAAATGGAGGTTTTCATTCCATATCTAAGTTTTGAATTTAAAACCTTTTCTTATACCAAACAGAATAGAAAAGCACAACTGATTATCAAAAATAATTTAATAAATAAAAATGTTTAAATAGAAAACTAAGCAATGTATTGCCATGTATAACTGGATTATTTAGTCGACTTTCTCATTATGTAGCATTCCAGTTTGTTCTTAAAAGGAAATGCATATATGCAAAGAATGCAGACTGGATGTTCACACATTGATTTGCAAGTTAATAAAAACACAAAAATCCTTGTTCACATTTTATCCAAAAAATTCTGAAGGGCAGAGTCTTATCATGTTTCAGTGCTTAATTTCTTTTCATATGATCATCTGCTCGACCTGTATCTTTTTACATCTTACATTCATACAAACAAGCAATCAAGTAATGCACAAACTTAAAAAAATATTTAATAAACAAGGAAGAAAAAAACGACTGCATATCAGGTTCACTTTATTTGTATTCATAAATACACAAGGACAAATAAGAACCATGAGTGCGTGGACTGACACGTGCAAGGTTTCGGATCATTACTGTAACTGGCAACACTATTGTCCCATGCACAATAGCCAATACAACTAATAATGAACCTCAAAACAATACTTGGGAATTACTAAAACTGCCATCTAAAATAAAAATAAAAAGACTTGATACTTTAACAAGTGAGACTTACACTTTCAGAACTGAATCATTTAAACATTAATTTCATATAAATTCCTTGAACACTAAAACTCGAACAATTTTCTTTTTTCTTTTTCATTTTTGAGATCCAACACTTAGTATTAATAATGCTTCCCTTCTGATAATACTGCTTTTATATAAAATGGATTTTTTCAGTTATTTTATACTAATCTAATGACTATTCATTACATATAAGTATGTATGTGCATAAATATAAATATAAATATAAATATAAATATAAATATAAATATAAATATAAATATAAATATAAATATAAATATAAATATAAATATAAATATAAATATAAATATAAATATAAATATAAATATAAATATAAATATAAATATAAATATAAATATAAATATAAATATAAACATAAACATAAACATAAACATAAACATAAACATAAATATAAATACAAATATATATATATATATATATATATGAGTATAAACACATATAATCACACACATACATATCTATATAACTGCACCAATGAGTAACTATCAAGTTATGAATAAATGCCAATTTTCATTTTACATATATACTATAAAACTCACCTTCCCTTCAATTTGGGCCACCCATTACAATGAAGGAGAAAGGAAAAAAATCAATATCATATGTTACATATCTCTATGTATATATGTAGAGAGAGAGAGAGAGAGAGAGAGAGAGAGAGAGAGAGAGAGAGAGAGAGAGAGAGAGAGAGAGAGAGAGAGAGAGAGAGAGAGAGAGAGAGAGAGAGAGAAATGAGTGTTGATCAGCACAAATTAGAGAAACCCTATATTGTAAACATCATGTTACTGCATTAATTTAAATATTTTAAGATGCTATATAATGAGGCAGATAATTTTCTATTATCAATCTCCTTGCTTTAAATAACTGAAAAAATAAGAAACACTTGTTCATATCTATTGTACATAAATAAAAATCATTCTTATTGCAATGCGTGTCTTACAATAAGGTGGCCTGTTTATAGCTGTGAACCTGACAAGTGTTAGAATGAAGTGTTTTTTCTTTTTTATATTTAGTTAATTATTGCAACTAAACCACTTAACAAATTAATTATATACTGGATATATTTCCTGTAGTCTTAATAGAATATTTTCTATTCCTGTTACTGTCAGAAGTTAACCTATAGTTACTACCAACAAGGAATCATTGCAACAATATGACCAAGTCAATCCATTCATCATAAATGTTTATTAATAGAGTCTTGAACTTGGCTTTTTTTCATTACAGTGAGAATATATAATTTCTATTCTTTTCATTTTCAACACAATCAAAAGAATTAACCTCTAAGGATAATTTTATCAAGGACTGGCTAATAAATGCATTATACTAAACAAGGAACCAAAACAGTCGCCTCCCAGGTGCATTCCGCACGTTTCTAGTCTTTTAATCAGAGCCCATTAACCCTCAGCCACCGGGTTCCATTTATGTACATTCCATGGCATGCCTGGATTGTATTCTGGGTGGCATGCGCATACATGCCATGGTGCAACCATCCCATTCTCCGGGGGCACATATGGTCATACCATGAATACTGGCGTGACGACACAAGTCCCCGGCAGTGGGGCCCAGGCCACTACCAATACAACCCGGGAGAAAGGGCTTGTGTATAGGGAAGTCACCTGTTGGCATTGCGTTAATGCACGTACGACTGTTCTGACAATCTTCAACCTCTGTAGCTAAACTAACCAAATTCCCAAGGAAAACATTTCTTGCCCTTATGTTATTACTGCATAAAGTCCAATTTCTAAGTCTTCCCATTTTCTCAGCAGCATACATAAACTGGCAATTGGCTAACTTGGGAAAAAGAGGAGAGGAGAATGAAAAGTAGAATATAACACAATATAAAATTTAGTTGATAACTTGATGAGAAATAACAAATAAATATAATTGGTAAACAAAAAAAAAAACAAAACAAAAAAAAAAAAAAAAAAAAAAAAAAAAAAAAACACAATAATAATAATCATAATGCAAAACTGGAAAGGATAGACAATATATTTTAGTATTTTGCTGAAAGAATATTGCTTGTGTATTTCAAAGATATATTTGGACAGCTTAGCATTGTCAAGACTGATAAAAATAATGTGTACTTGTTTTTTGTTTTCTTTCTTTTTAGAATTGTTATCTAATTTTCCTTTAAAGCTTATTATATCACAAAAGTTGGCCCTTGGTTTTACACATAACCAAATAAAACTTATATAAAAAATTTCACTGAAACATAAAATCTGATTTCAAGCCACCCTCTACTAATTGACATTTAGCA